AAAAGAGGATAACTTTAGTAGAGACGGCGGGGGTCTCTCTCTTGCTCAGGCTGGTCTCGGAACCGAACTCTGAGCTCCCAATGATCCCCCCACCTCGGTCCTCACAGAGTGCTGGGATGAACAGGCGTGGAAGCCACCGCGCCCAGCCAGTAACAAATACCACTTTTTTTAAAAGAAAAAAGGAAGCCTTGTAAATGGCCTGGGAAGCCCCTCTCGGGTGCTGGCGGGGCCTGAGAGGCACCCACAGCCAAGGCCTGCTGTGTGTGTGGGAATCTGAGCCACAAAGACGGGCTTGTCCCCAAGACAGAGACAGGCCTGTTCCTGGAGGTATTTGCTGGTGGCATAGCTTGGCTGCAGAGCGGTGGCCCCGTGAAGTCCCATGGCCGAGGTGACCGCTGGGAGGAGCTCAGGCCATGCTCCACAGGTCTCCAGGCTCCTCCTTCTTTCCTGCTGACCTGCCTGGTGGACGGGCGAGGCCAGGGGTGTGAGTGACTAAGGACACCTTGGAGTTAAGCAAAACTGCACTTTTTTTTTTTTTTTTTGCTTAAAAAAATTTTTTTTTGTTTGTTTGTGTTTTTTTTTTTGAGACAGAGTCTCACTCTGTTGCCCGGAGTCTCACTCACTCCCCTAGAGTGCCGTGGCGTCAGCCTAGCTCACAGCAACCTCAGACTCCTGGGCTCAAATGATCCTACTGCCTCAGCCTCCCAAGTAGCTGGGACTACAAGTATGCACCACCATGCCCGGCTAATTTTTTTCTGTTTTGTTTAGTTGTTTGCCTAATTCCTTTTTCCTTTCCTTTCCTTTCTTTGCCTTTTCCTTTTTTCCTTTCTTCTTTCCTTTCCTTTCCTTTCCTTTCCTTTCCTTTCCTTTCCTTTCCTTTCCTTTCCTCTCCTTCCCCTTCCCCTTCCCATTCCTTTCCTTTCCTTTTCTCACTCTGTTGCCTGGGCTCCACAAAAACCTCAACCTCCTGGGCTCAAGCGATCCTCCTGCCTCAGCCTCCCGAGTAGCGGGGACTACAGGCATGCGCCACCATGCCGGCTAACTTTTTCTATAGATAATAGTTGGCCAATTAATTTCTTTCTATTTTTATAGTAGAGACGGGGTCTCGCTCTTGCTCAGGCTGGTCTCAAACACCTGACCTCAAGCAATGCACCCGCCTCGGCCTCCCAGAGTGCTAGGATTATAGGCGTGAGCCACTGCGCCCGGCCTGTTTTTTGTTTTTTTTTTGTGTGTGTGTGGACACTTGGTCTCACTGCGTTGCCCACGCTGTCCTCGAACTCCTGGCCTCAAGCCGTCCTCCCAAAGTCCTGGGATTACAGGCGAAAGGCTCTGCACCCAGCCCAGCAAAATTGCATTTGATTCCCAGCTCTGTGCCTTGGGCAGGTGACCTGGCCCCTTGGCCTCCTCCTCCACCTCTGCCGAGGCCATGTGGGTGGAGGACGGCGGCAGTCGGCACAGGACGGTATGACTTGCCGCCTGTCTGCATGCCCTGAGAGTGATGCCCTCCCATGGAAAATGGAGGGCTCCCCACACCTGGGTCAACAGCCAAGGGACACCCAGCGGCTGCAGTGATGCTGTAGGACCTTGGACCCAGCACTGGGCAGGTGGGTCGGTGGCCCTGTCCTCCCTTGAGAGGGTCTCAGGAGGCGGTGGGAAGCCCCTTAGAAGAAACAGGGACAATTTCCGGAAGTCCAGAGGCCTGAGTAGACACCTCAGAACCAGCGGATTCTGGGGTGAGAGTCTGTCTGCTTGGGGCCTGGGGCTGGGATTCTGGGGCTGGGGTCTGAGGTCCTGGGGCCTGAGGGTCTGGCTTTCTGGGGGCCCTGGGAACCTGAGATCTGGAGTCTGGGGGCTCCTCAGCTGTCGGGGAAGCAGAGTGGGACGGAGCAGGTGGTAGCTGGGGCTGGGGCTGGGGCTGGGGCAGGGAGGGGTTGGCTGAGGAAGCAGGTGTAGGTCTGGGGCCTCCAGGAGCTGAGCAGGCCAGCCTGGAGGCAGGATAGGCAGGGCCAGCCCCTGCCCGTGGTGAAGCAAGCCCTGCAGGTGGGCCAGCCGTGGAGTCAGGGAGTGGCTGGCATGGGGGGGTGGACACCCCCAATCTCTGGGGGATACGTTCTCCCCAGCCTGGTCCTACAGTTGCCACTGCCCACCAGGCCAAGCCCCCAGCCCTCATGCTCCACCCAGGGTTGGGTCTGCTGACTGCTCAGAGGACATTCTGTGGAATCCCCCAGCTGGCCCGGTGCTAGGGCACCCCCTGGTGGCCACCCACAGTAGCACACAGGCTGAAAGCAGAGGGCACCCAAGACCCCTCCCAGGTGTGATGTTCAGGTGGGCACTGGACAGGTGGGCAGGTGCCACTTGTGGTGAGGACACAGAGTCCACTGGTGGTCATCAGGGTCCCGAAGGCCCCGTGCCTTCCTCACGGGTGCCTCATCAGCATGGGACTGAGCTCTCCAAAGCTGGTCTTGTCTTTGACTCTCTGACTCAGCTCCCTCCCGGCCCTGCCCCCAGGTCTGGCCCAGCTGCTCCCGCTCCCCACGACCCTCACTTGGCTATGTGCCCAACAGCAGCCAGTTCTGGGTGACAGGCTTTGAGACTGCAGGACGTCTGGCCTGGGAGGGCCGCAGGGAGAGGAGTGGACAGGACCTCCCCCCCCCGCCCGGATGTCCTCCAGGCCCAGCTGGATGCCCATGGAGGGCAATGCCTCCTGGGCCCCTCTCCAGGCTCAGGGTGAGCGGCCTTCCTTGGCACGTCCATGGTCCAGACTGGCCGAGGCCTCTGCCCCGCAGCCCCGAGGACACGCCCGTCCCCACCACAGGAGACAGACACAGCAGCTAGGAGACGACCGGTTTAATACCATAGCTGTGGAGCCTCCGCCACCTCTCAGCTCTGGGGGGCGGCTCCCGGTCCAGCGCGCAAAGACACCCCGGCCCCCCCTCCCCCGCATAGGTCGCAGGGCTCAGCTGGCCTAGGACTTGGTCAGAGAGGGTTCCTGGGGCGGGCTCCGTGGGGTGGGCGGTGGGGGTGTCTGATGCCCGCGCTTGTGTCCCTGACGGGGGAGGGGTGAGCGTGTGTCCCCATCCCAGCATGGCGCCCAGGGCTTCGTGTCCTGGAGCCCCAGTGCCCCTGGGGAGCCGCAGCACAAGGGGTGGGTGTGGAGGCCACCTCTGAAGCCCAGGTCACCAGCCCAGCCGGGTGGGAGCTCTGGCCTGCTCTGGGGTGTGGGGGTGCAGCTGGGTACAGGTAGACGTGGGAGCAGGTGAAGACAGGGGGGCATCACAGAGGAGGAGGCCCCGCCCCGCCTGGGGAGTTCTGCGGCCTCAGAGCAGGCAGATGCGGGGCTGGCACCGAGGGGCCTGGGTTTGGCTGAGGTCCGCCTTGCTGTGGGCTGGGGCGCCGGGTACCCCTGGGCCAGGCAGGTGCGGGGGCCCCCGCCCGGCCCCACAGCCCATCCGCGTCCTTGGTACAAAATACATACACATATAAAAATAATACTCCACGCGCCGAAGGGCCGCTGCAGGCGTGGCCTCCCCGCTGCCTGCCGAGGCGCTGCGGGGCCGCGAGGTCTAGCTGTCCTCCGCCCTCCTCTGGTTCTTGGAATAAAACTTGCTCATGAGTTCCTCCAGCTCCGACCCGCTCTGCTGATTCTAGTGAGGAGAGGGGCCGCCTCAGCCGGGGCCGTGCGCAGCGAGCCCGGGGGACGGGGCGGGCTGCAGGGGCGGGGCGGGGCGGGCTGCAGGGGCGGGGCGGGGCGCACCTCCAGCAGAGCCTTCTGCACGGTGAGCTGGCTGTACACGCGGGCGCCCTCCTCCCCGCACACCTTCCTCAGCTCGGCCTTGCTGAGCGAGAAGAGCTGCGGCCCGGTCAGGATGCCCAGGTTCTCCACGGTCCTGCGGGCAGGGGCGCGTGAGGGGGCGCCGTGGGCGTGGCTCCCGGCCCCCCGCCCCCGCCCCCGCCCGCGCCGCGCGCTCACCCGGCGCTGAAGGCCTTGGCGTCCAGCCAGGCGCGGACCTCGCCGGGGCCCGACTCGTAGGACAGTGGCGGGCGCGCGGGCGGAGCGCGATCCACGCGCGGTTGCCCGGCCGGCTTCGCCTTGATGTAGTTGATTTTCTTGACCAGCTCGTCGTTGACCTCGTCCATCTGTTGCATCAGCTCTGCGGGTGGCGCCGGAGGCTCAGCCCGGCTGCCGCCCCGCGCACCCGCCCCGTGCGCCCTCCCAGCCGGCCGGCGCCCCCACCCTGCGGGAGCGGCCCCTCACCGTCCTTGTTCCCCGCGAAGGTCGGGGGCAGCTTGTGGGTCGGGCTGGCGGGGCCCCAGTATTTCGGACTGGCCTGCGGGCGTGGAGAGGTGCGGGCGCTGGGGAGGGGGCTGTCGGCTGCGCTCTCGTCCCCGCGCCCCCCCAGACCTGCGCAGCCGCGCCCCGCACCTGGGGGCCGACCCTTCCCTCCCTCGGCCAAGGCCCGGTCACCCCCGCCCCAGCCCCGGCCCCCCAGCCGCTGTTCCGCGCTCCGGCGCTGCCCACGTGCTGTGCACCACCGGGCAGGCTCACCTGCTCCAGGGCGGCGCCCGCGTCCTCGGGCCGCACCTCGTCCAGGATGTTGCTGGGCACGTAGCCCGCCTGGCCGCTGCGGTTGCGCAGCTTCCACCACTGCCGCCCGTCCTCCAGCACCTGCGGGCGGCCGCGTCAGGCCCGCGCCCCTCTGCCGCGCTGCTGGACCACTGAGTCCTGCGCAGGCCAGGGCGCCCCCGTGCCCCACCCTGCCTCAGGGGGATCCTGGAGCAGCGGCCTCTTAACCTGGTTGTGGATGTCGACCCCCATCCCCCCCAGCCTGCTCCACTTTCCATCCCCCAGTGGGTGGCCTGGATTCGGTGTGGCGCAAAAGCAGCCTGTGCCGGAGTTCTTGGGGTGGGCGTGAATGACAAGTCCCCGCTGGGTTCCACTGGGGGGTCCTCCCCCACTTGGTGCAGGGAGGGACTGCCCACCTCCCAGCCCAGCCCTGCGTAGGGGTCATTGCATGCCTTAGGGGGTCCCTAAGACAGGGCAGCCCTCACCCAGTCTGCTGGGCTTGGGGAGGCCTGTGGCTCCCCATCGGAGACCAGGCGTAGGGACCCTAGGGGGAGGGGCCAGCAGCCGCCATGCCACAAGTTGTGTCACACAGCCTGGCCCCCAGGCCACTGGCCCCCACTTGGGCAGCCCTCCCCTCCCCTGGGCAGCCACTTCTGCCCGCCAGCCTCTGCCCAGCCTGGCCCTGGGCAGCCTCTTCCTCCCCTGGGCAGCCCCTCCCTGCTGCCCCCTTACCTCCAGCACCTCATCCTTGAGCACCGACAACTCATTGGCATTGTGGGCCGTGAAGTCGTAGAGGATTTTGACGTACTTGGCCATGGCTGGTGTTGGCTGGTAGCCCCTGCAAGGAACGGGAGAGGCTGAGGCCCAGGGCTGCGCTGGGGTCTCCGGGGCCCGGACAGGAGCCGGGGGCAGCAGCTTCCCAGGCACACGACCGCCTGCGCTCCGCAGCATGGAGAGGCAGTGGCTGCGCAGCCAGGAATGGAAACTGTGACAGCCCCAGAGCGTTGGGGCCCTGCGTGGAGGTGGGGTGGGCGGGCGGTGGGCGGGACAAAGGGCCCGGGGCATGGCGAGGCTGGCCAGCCCAGGCCACCCCAGGGGTCTCCAGCCTGGCTCCCCCCACCAATGGCAACCAGAGCCAGCCAGGTGCCTGGGTCACTGCGTCTTGTCTCTAAGCCCTGACCAGTGAAGGCCGGGGACGTCTTCAGAGCCACAGCTCCTCCGAGGACTGAGAACAGGCAAGTGCGTGCAGAAGCCAATGTCCACGAGTTCCTCTGTGAGGGCTGGACCTGCCCCCTGCAGGGGGAGGGGAACCAGCTCTGGCTGGGGGGGGGGAGGCCGGCTTTGGCACAGAGCAGGCAGGCCTGTGGCTGCCCCCGGGGCTGGGCCGTCCCTCCTGGTGGGGCTGGCCCTGGCCATCGGGGCAGCTTCCTGTCCAGGTGCAGCTGCTTCCTGTCCAGCTGGGGGCAAGGGCCACCAGGACTGGGCCAGGTGGACAAAACAGGGGCTGGACGCCAAAGGGTGCAAACGTCTCCTGAAGTGTCCTAGGCTAGGGACCACGGGTGCTGGGCTGACACCATGGGGTAAGGGGAGGGGCACGCTTATTGAAAACATGGATTTCTGGCCCCTTCCTCTCCTGAAACTGAATCCTGGGTCTGGTAGGGCAATGAGCTGATCCCAGCCAGATCCCTGCCCAGGAGCGAGGACAGAGAGGAGGAGGGGAGGGCAAGGGCCCCCTGGTGCCCTGGCTTTGTTGTTATGCTCTGTCGGAATGGTGGGGAGAGGCTACACCCCCAGTTTCCTCTGCTGGCTCTGCCAGAGCTGGGCCAAAATCAGGCCAACAGCCTCACAGGCTGACAGTGTTTGAAGAAACCAAAGTTTAAGTTCAATGGTTTAGCACGTTTCTAACCTTGATTCTAAAACACAGACGTGGAGGCACGAAAAGACCTGATGTATTAGGGTAGTAAATTTACGTCTGACTTTTGAAATGTCTCCTATAATTACAAAGTTAAAATGAAAACCCGGTTCGGATTCGGAAAGGCGGTATTCTTTTTTTTTTTTTTTTTTTTTTTGAGACAGAGTCTCCCTTTGCTGCCCAGGCTAGAGTGAGTGCCGTGGCGTCAGCCTAGCTCACAGCAACCTCAATCTCCGGGGCTCAGCGATCCTACTGCCTCAGCCTCCTGAGTAGCTGGGACTACAGGCATGCGCCACCATGCCCGGCTAATTTTTTGTATATATATTTTTAGTTGGCCAATTAATTTATTTCTATTTTTGGTAGAGACGGGGTCTCGCTCAGGCTGGTTTCGAACTCCTGACCTTGAGCAATCCGCCCGCCTCTGCCTCCCAAAGTGCTAGGATTACAGGCGTGAGCCACCACGCCTGGCGGAAAGGCGGTATTCTGAACCCCGTGAATGAGGCACTTGCCACCACCTGGTGGCAGCGTACCCACGTAGAGCCTGCACGTTCTGAAGAGTGAGTGTCAAGCTCCCACACGGTTGGGGCAGGGGGGCTTACCTGTGAGTGTGTGGGGCGCTGACTGGTGGTAGAGGGTCCCCTGGGGCTGTGGGCTCCAAAGCATGGCCGTGCTTCTGGGAGTTTCGTAAGGACAGTCTCCGGCTTGCCGCAGCCTGCGAGGAAAGTAGGCAGCCGGGGTTTGATGTGGGGGGGCTGGGCAAGAAGGGCAGGGGCAGCTGGGTGCCAGGGCGAGGGGCACGGGACAGGGTCTTGGTGAAACGTGCTGGTGCCACCCACCCGGGGGCCACGGGCTGCCTTGCTTGGCCGGGGCTGTGGCTGCAGGGGCGGTGGGTGGACGTGGGCTGGGAGGTGAGCTCTTGGGGGGGAGTGGGGGCCGGGCTGCGGCCGCTCTGACGCTCACGTCGGCGCGGACACCGAAGTCCCCTGCGACCCTCCCAGGGGCCTCCCGCAGCCGTTTCCAGGCGGTCCCAGCCGCTGTGGAACTTGGGCACGTAGAGGGGCACCTGCGGCTCCTGTGGCCACTCGGCGCTAGGGTGAGAGGGCGTGGGGGTCAGCACTAGCCCTTGCAGAGCCAGCCCTCCCTCCCCGACTCTCCCCCGCGCCCACCCAGCGCCCCGCCCCAAGCGCCCCCCACCCTGCCCCCAGTGCCCCTGGCCCCCGCCCCAGCGCCCCGCCCCCAAGCGCCCCCACCTGCCCCAGTGCCCCAGCGCCCCGCCCCAAGCGCCCCCACCCTGCCCCCAGTGCCCCTCGCCCCGCCCCAGCGCCCGCCCCAAGCGCCCCCACCCTGCCCCCAGTGCCCCTCCGCCCCGCCCCAGCGCCCCGCCCCAAGCGCCCCCACCCTGCCCCCAGGCGCCCCCTTGGTCCCGCCCCCAGGCCCGGAGGGGCCCGTCCGCCCCCAGCGCCCCCTTGTCCCGCCCCCAGCGCCGCCCCGCCCCGCCGCACCGGGGCCGCGTCCAGGTCTCCCCCAGCGACTCCCACAACTGCATCTCCTTGGGGATCAGGTGGCCGCGCAGGAAGCCCACGGCGTCTCGGGAAAGCAGGGGGCTGGAGACGGAGCGCGCGATGTTCGGGCTACCGCAGGTGTTGACGATCTGGGGCACAGGGGGCTTCAGCGGGGGCCACGCTCACGGCCCCCAGCCCCAGACGCTCCACGGGGTGGGGGGGCTCAGGAGGGACTTCGGCCCCCTGGGAGATGGACGCCCGCCCGAGCCGGGCAGCCCCGGGTGAGCACCTGCTTCCCCCACCCTGAGCGCGGGGAGCCACTCCCGGGGCCCTGGCCGCCCCCACCCCCGCCGTCCCAGCCCAGGCACCAGGTCCAGAGGCCCGAAGAGGAAGTGCACGAGCTCGGCCGCGCTGGGGTTCTGGATGTGCTTCTGCAGCTTGGCCTGCGGGGGCGGGTGGGGGGACCGGTGAGGGTGGCCGTGGGAGGGGCGGACCCTGGACCCGGGTGACGGACGGGGGAGGGTGGGGCCCCTGCTCTCACCAGCAGGTTGATGGCCAGCTTGGTTTTCTGGAAACAGTCCACAAACTCGCTCTCAGGGGGGGGCCGGGCTCGCAGCGTGAGGACGCCCTCTGGCATGGGGGGGAAGGCATGGGGCAGCGTGAGCATACCTTCCTTACCGCCACCTGCCCGCCCCACCCCCAGCTCCCCCACCTGCCCGCCCCTCCCTCCCCCCACGCACATACGCGCATGTGCACACACACTCCCCATCCTCCCATCGCCCCCCCAGCATACCTGCCAGCCCCTCCCATCCTCTCCCTCCTGCCCCTCCCTCACACAGACATGCCTGGACACAGGTATGCACACAGGCGCACATGCACGCACACACAAGCACGTGCACATGCACATGTATAGACACGTGCACACTCGTACATGCACATGCATGCACGCAGATGCACATACACATACATGCACATGCACACACACATGCACACAGTCACATGCAAGCACACGCGCACGCACCTGCCGGCCCCTTCCTGCCCTTCTTCTTGCCCTTCTTCCGCTGGTTGAGCTGCCTGAACGCCTCGGCCGCCTTCTGCAGCCGCGCCACGAACCACTCGATGTCGTCCAGGGCGCAGTTGAGGATTTGCTGGGGTCAGAGGGGTCAGCGGTCAGCCTATGACACCGCGGCAGGGGCGGCCACGCGGGCAGGGCGGAAGGACCTTGGGGGGGCTGTGGGGGGCGGGAGAGGGGGGGACGGGGCTCATGGGGCACGCACCGTCTCCTTCTCTATCTTCTGAGCCAGCACGGCCCGCGGCGGCTCCTCGTCCAGCGACTCCCGGCGGCGGAAGCCTGCAGGGGCACGCGCAGCTGGCTGCTCACCCAGGCCCCCCACGCGGCCCCCCACCGGCCCGCCAGCCCCCTGCCTACCTGGCTCGCTGAGCAGCTCTGGCAGGCCCACCCGGTTCTTGGCAGAAGCCGAGTCCTTGTGGCGCTGGAAGGGGATGGGGGCCAGGGCCTGGGGCGGGGGCAGGATGGACTGCCGCTGCCGAAGCTTCTCCTGGTGTCCCCTGGGGGGCGAGAGCCGCTCAGCCTGGCCGGCTGGCCGGCCCCCTCCCGCCAGCCAGCCGGGCGTCCCAGCCCAGCTCCTGCCCTCCCTGCCCTCCTGCCCCAGACCCGCCGCCTACTTCAGCGTCTGTGGCCGCATCTTCTTGCCCAGCCTGCAGTCGGCCAGCGCGCTCTCGATGTCCTCCTGCACCAGCTCTGCCTGCGGGGGCGGGGCGTCAGGCCGGCGGGCCGTGGTGGAGCAGGGCCCCCCTGCAGCCCCTCACCCCAAGGTCGGCCCCCCCAGCCCCAGGTGGGCCCTCACCTCCACCTCGTCGCAGTGGAAGAAGTGCACGTCGGGCTTGCTCTGCTCGGGGTCCTGGCACACCAGCAGCAGCACGGAGGGGTAGCGCAGCTGGTTGAGCACCGTCTGGCTGTGCTGCACCGTGGGCAGGGGGAAGTTCTCCAGCTCCTCCTGCATGGGCAGTGGGGAGGACACGATGCACACGTGAGACCCACCCTGCACCCTGGGCACGGATGTGGGCCGCAACCGCCTGCACGGAACGGACACCACGCCGTGGTCACGGACGTGGCTCGTGGGCCCGGCACGTGGAGTTGCCACCGGACACAGGGGTGTGTGCAACTCACGGGCAGAGAAAAGAGCTGGGACGTCCCCAGGCGGGGCCTGTGGACTCCAGTGAGGAACGGCCGTGGCTAGGGACACAGCCAGGGATAGGGCCCCACAGAGAGGGACGTGGCCCTGGACACACGTGGCCACAGCAGGGTGGGCCTCACCCTGCTGGGTGTGTGCAGTGAAGCTGGCCCACCGCTGTGCGGCCACGCCTTTCGCCTCTCTCCCTGTCTGCTCTTGTGGCCAGAATGACGGGCAGTGCCGGCCACACGTCTGGGCCACGGTGGGCCGCAGGCACGGCCGTGCCGGCCTGCTCCCCGCTGGCCCTGGCCCCTGGGCCATACCTGAGACTCGATGTCCAGCAGCCGCAGCGACTTGTCGTTCACTTGCAGCAGCATCTCCTGCGTCCAGATCTTCTCCTTGGAGCTCAGCTGCACCAGCTTCCGGATGGCGTCATCCACGGACACGATGGCCTCGCTGTTGTCCATGATAAAGGTGGCCAAGTGCTGGGGGTGGACAGGCGGTCACTGCTGGGCAGGGCCCTCTGCATGCCCAGAGCCCAAGCCCAAGGAGCCACAGCCTGGGAGGCTGAGGGGACACAGCCAGCCTTGGTGGAGGGGGGAGTCTCCATTTGGCCTTGCAGGGGTCATGGTTGTATCCTGATAAACCCCTCCAAAAAAATTCCAGGCCAGGCATAGCGGCTCACACCTGTAATCCTGGCACTCTGGGAGGCCGAGGCAGGAGGATATCGTTTGAGCTCAGGAGTTTGAGACCAGCCTGAGCAAGAGCGAGACCCCATCTCTACTAAAACTGGAAAGAAATTAGCTGGACAACTAAAAACATATAGAAAAAAATTAACTGGGCATGGTGGTGCATGCCTGTAGTCCCAGCTACTCAGGAGGCTGAGGCAGGAGGATGGCTCGAGCCCAGGAGTTGGAGGCTGCAGTGAGATGTGATGACACCACAGCACTCCAGCCTGAGCCAGACTCAGTCTCAAATAGCAACAACAACAACAACAGACAACAAACGCCCTCAGAAAAATCCCAAACTGTTCCATAGCTCTGGGCCACAGTCTGCCGCCCGCCTGTCCGCTGTGCTCTTTCTTCCTTCTCAGATGTCACCCTTCCTGTCCACCTGCCTACGTCATCTGTCACCTGTCACCAGTCCCTGACCTGCCTTGTTTTGCATTTATCTGATCCAGCGTCATGCTGTGCGTGATTCTTCCTGAACCCAAGTGAGGTGCAGGTGACAACACGCCTGCCCAGCGGCGCCCTCCCCTCCTCCATGCAGGTCTGGCTCCGCCCCTCCTGCTGCCAGGTCCCAGGTGTGCACCTGGATGTTCAGGTGAGTGAGGCCCTCCGCAGCGGACAGTGCTGGGATGGCTGCATAGACACTAACTAGACTTCAGGACAGTCAAAGGCTTAACTGCAAAACACCTAACAAGAAAGGTCTACAAGAAAATGCCGCATGATTCCTGATCACCTCCAAGGCCTTCTCATCGGGGTGTTTCCTCAGCAGGAAAGAAAGTCCAGAAGCTCAGAAGTAAAGGCCAGTACGTTCAGCAATAGAAAAACAGAAATTTCTGCCTGGAAAGAAAGCCCCCTATATAAAGGAAAAAAACCCTACATTTAAAAATTAAAAAGTGGGAAAAACATATAGGTAATAGATATATTCGATTTTCTTTTTTTGTTTGTTTGTTTTTTGTTTTTTATTGCAGCATATTCATGGCGGTATCAGATTTTAAGGTTTCGCATAAAATGACCCTTTCCCCAACCCCCCACTCCCCACAGTCTGACTTTCCAGCATCGAGGCATCCGCCAGATGGTGCACTCTCACTCCATTATGTATGTATTACCCAACCCCTTTTTATTTTCTTGACGACACAACGGTCTCACTTTGTTGGCGCCGGCTCACGATGAGTGCCGCATCAAGCCTAGGCTAAGCACAGCCAAACTCCAAACTCCTGGGCTGCAAGATCCTCTGGCCTCGCCTCCCAAGTGGCTGGGACTCATAGGCATACCCGGCCCCACACCATGCGGGCTGGATAACTTTTTTTTGCTATATTACTTCACATCTGCCAGCGCAATTAATTGTTTCTATTTAATAGTGGAGACGGGGTCGGCTCTTGGCTCAGCTGGTTTTGACTGCTCGACTGACAACATCCGCGCCGCCTCGGCCTCCAGAGTGCTGGGATTACAGGCTGTGGCCATGAGCCTGGCCTGATTGATTTTCTTCACGTAGGAAAAGACCACTGTACAATGCCAGTTCTTTGTTAAAACCAGCCTAGTTTTGTTAAATATGATAAGTTAACAGTACCAACCAAATAGTATAAACATGAAATGTAACATAAGTTAAAGATTAACCAAAACCTCAAACAGAGACAATTTGAGCAGAGTCTGTAGAGAAAAATAAACATAAGTAACTTTTTAGTGTAAAAAACTGCGCATGCGCGCGGGCGTGGTGGCTCACGCTGTAATCCTAGCACTTTGGAGGCGCAAGGGCGGTGGGATTGTCAAGGTCCTAGGAGTTCGAAATAGCCATCCTGGAGCGAGACCCCGTCTCTACCCAAAAATATGAAATATTACAATTGACAATCTAAAAATATATATAAACATAAAAAAAAAATTAGGCGCATGGGTGGCCGCATGCCTGTAGCTCCCCAGCTACTCGGAGGTGAGGCAGTAGGACTCGCTGATGCTCCGGAGATTGACGGTGCTCTGAGCCGGAGGCGGAACGCACGGCACTCACTTTAGGCCGGGCAACAAAGTGAGACTCTGTCCTCAAAAAAAAAAAAAAAAACTGGGCATGCACACTATAGAATAAAAGAACTACAAGTTCATCCTGGTTTGTGTAGTGGTGAGTGAAGAAAAAAAATTGCAAATTGGAACTCTGAGACTCTATTATTTTAGGAATTGAATTTTTTTTTTTTTTAACTGTTCTATTGACCAATTCTAAAAGTCTTGATGTGGCCGGCGCTGGTGGCTCACGCGCTGTCAAAATCCCCTAGCTCTTGGGAGGCGACGGCGCGGCGGATGCTCAAGGTCAGGAGTTCAAAACAGCCTGAGCGAAGAGCGAGACGA